GCCGCTGTGAACGGATGTGAACACCCCCCCAGGGTGTCTCCTGAAAAGTACTTACCTTTCCGCTCCAGCAGCTGTGCTCCGCTTCCGGGTTAAACAAAGTTCCGCTCCCTGAAAAAAAAACAACCTTCCTGCACCCACTTGCTTAGGAAGGTGCCAAGTGCACAGGGGGGGAGGTCCGGGACCTTAACAATTACACTGCACATATTAACGATAAATCTTGCTTGGAACCTGGGCCTCCCCAGGCGACTGGGCCCCTCACGCAAGTAGCGGCTGTACCCCGCTTATGGCGGCCCTGACCGGGGATTCAGATCGCAACCCCCGAATTCACTTGCACAACCCCACATGGGGTCGCGACCCACACTTTAAGAAGCCCTGTTCAAGACCTTTCAGCCAACATCTAAATTATTGCACTTTGTTGTTATTTTGAAAAGCCAGCATAAAGGAAAAGTAGTGATGGTTTAATCAATCAATTTTATTTATTAATTCATCATGGACAGTGTAATTGGGGGCGTGACAGAGGGTGTGTCCATTACTACATACTTGTACTAAAAGGTGTCATCTCAAAAAAGTGCAAGGCATGAACCATGCAGTATTTGATCCTTTCCTCTGCTTAAGCATGCTGTATAAGCATGTGGGTTTTGACAAAAAGTAATAATTGCAGACCCAGAAAATGATGTCATAGTAATTATTATAAAATGGCATCAATGTATAAGAAACACTAAGAAAAATGAGGGCTTGTTGCACAGAACAATTAAGGCAGAACTCGAGGCAAATCAAATCTTAACCCTTGCAGTGGGGCTACCCCTGCACTGCAACGATGAAATGCTCGTTTTGTCTAGGGAGCGAAAATAACAAAGTTATACTCACCTAAACCACGATCCTGGCTTGCTCTTAGACCACTCCCTCCAGCTTGTCTCCTCCTCCACTGCAGCAATAAAATGTCCCTTGGCATCCTCACATTTTATACACTGTATTGGGCGCAATGACTCAAAGGACCTTAGACTGCTGGTGCGGAAGGGGAGAGAGGCTGCAGGGAGCGTTCTAAGAGCAAGCCAGGCTCAAGGTTCAGGTGAGTATAGCTTTGTTATTTAGCTCCCTAGACAAATCGAACACCTAACCCTTGCAGTGCAGGGGTAGCCCCACTGCAAGGTTTAAGATTTGATTTGCCCGGAGTTCTGCTTTATAATCAGGATTGATTTTTTTTCCCTTAACCAGTGCTTATCAAAATTTTATTAATATTTTGTCACTTTTACTCTAGGCTCATTTGGCTTTTGCCAGTGTTTATCTAATTTATATTCATGTTTTTTTTACTATTTATCAATGTTTTTACCTATGATCAATTTTTACTCATAGGGCTTTGGATTAAACCGTACATATTCAAGGAAACATTTGATTGGACCTTTTCCCCACAGCGCACAACACTTCCAAAGAATAGTAAGGGCCATAGACTGTTAGACCTAACACCCTGGTTGTTTTCATAATGTGCTCCTGTGGTCAGAATGAGTACAGCGCACAGCTTACCAGTTATTATCCTGAGAACCCGGGAAATTCATCTTAAGTCTATTTTATTCCACAGTTCTCTAATGATGACCAATTATTTGGCATATTTATTTCTATGGGGAATAGGTGATCAACTATATTTTATTTTAGTCAGAGATGACTGTAAATGTTTTAATAAAACTCAAGTATTACAATTATTTGTTTGCTTGTCTGGTTTATTGTTGTTTTGGTCAAGCAGAAAACAGAAATAACATTTTCTAGACTCTGTTTACTTTTCCTTATGAAGCATTTCCATTTGTATGTGTTGGACTTATTTGTAGCCTGTGGCTGCAATTCCCATGTGCTAGAAAGCCACAACATAACCACAATATCGCATCACAATTTCCTTCTCAGTGAATAGGGTTCCCTTGAAGCTGTAAAACATATTTTTATTGAACATGAACACACACAGTAACCTATAATTTCTACTTAAATCTAGGTAATTGGGTAAAAAATAATAATAAGAGAATTTTAAAAGTAAATAAATAGTATGTAAGCAACCTTTTTGTTCAGCATCTAAACTAGGGACTGGAAGGAGCCCAAAAGAAGATACTTCTGGTCGATAATTTCTTTAGCTCTGCCTTCTCTAATGCCTGGTAACTGACATTAAACTTTGGGCCATACCAGATGAGTAATCCTATCGCTGTTGACAACTTTCACCAGTGACAATCGTTTAGATGTCACATAAAGGTTATGTTGACCCCTGAACTGAAATATAATATAGTGTAGCTTATTAGTCCTTAGATTAATACTTTTTCATTTTTTAGGTTTTTTTTCTTGTTTATTTTCACCTGGTGATCCTGCCAGTAACACACTTCCTGTACTGTCCTGAGGTAACAACACTCACTAACTGTTCTGTAACTCTGGAAGAGCAGCGTTGTCATCCTAAGCTATTTGTTCCTGCTTTGGCCTACAGAACACCTCTCCCCAGATCTAGATCCATCCTTTTTTGAGACAGCCTGGAGCTGCTACCTCAGGCGGCAAATCTATAGGTCACACTAGGGGAGACGGCAGGCAGAGCGGTAGGTTTGTTGTGGCCACTCTGCTGTACAGTGCTGCCCCCTTTCTGGCCAGAGCATTTCAGGTTCCTAAGAGCCAGGCGGGGAGATGTGTAAGGGTCATACACATCTTCCCACAAAGCTCTTAGCAACCTGGGACACTCTGACCGGCGTCCCTCCCAGCTCTTGGCTGACAGTGACTTTACTGGTTGCCAGGAGCTGGGCAGGATGCCATCTAGAGTGTCCCAGGTCGGCAGAGGGTGGCGTCACTGTTATGCACCAACACCCCCACCTCAGATAGCAAAAACTCTAGGGGCGCATCCAATCATATCCATAACATAGTTTAACTGGGTAGGGCTGATAAAACTCAAAGGCACTTTGTTGTCAGCTCAACCAGAAAGTTAGAAGCATACCGGGTTCCTAGCAGGATCAACAGTATTTTTTACTTATTGAAAAGTTATCACAAAACGCTTTGTTACATTTAACAGACTAAAAGGGTGCAGATAAGAGAAGTTCATTTTTGGTTTAAATACTTTAACTTCTCCCTTGTTGGCCTGTCCAGCAAGACATCAGCCTGTCACTGTTCACTCTCTAGCAAGCAGGTTCTGCAGTGTTTGAGCCAGCAGCAAAGTGACGCCCATGAGCCCATTACATCTGTGATTCTGGCATCGGCACTGTGTCTCCAGCAGCAGAATTGCAACCCCTGACATTAGCCTTAGCCTACTCATTACTAGCATGCCTGGAATGCCCCAACATAGTTTTGTGTGCGTAGGTGGTTGATCTTGGGTGCACACAGCAATCAGCAGTGGGACAAGGGTCCTGTAATTGTATAAACAGGCTTGTTGTGTTAATGTCAGTGGAGGATAAGGGAAGAGAGGAGCCACACTGGCACATTTAACAGAACCCCTTATCACAGGTAACAGAAATAGTACTCTGGGTTGGATTTCTGCCTAAAGAATAATTATGTATCTGAGGTACAATATGTGGTTGGTAGCTGAATATCTAAATCTAGGGCTAACATTTACAGGGACTTGTAAGGATTAGATCTGGCATTGCTGACTTGTATGGAAAAGGTGCATGCTCCAGGGTTGTCATCCTGATCCTTGCTTTACCATCTAGTAAGTCACTGACTTGGACCTAGCATGCAGCCAGTGAAGTCTGAAAAGTTTAGATCCTCACCTCCATACCTGTTTTAGGTCAGTGACCCTGTTGGTAGTGAAGCCCGGTCCAGGATGAAAGCCATAGACCCTGTAAGTGTTAAATAGAAGTCTGCAAAGGCAGTTCCCATATTTCTTGTAGGTTTGCTTTAAAGAAGAACTCTGGGCAAAACTTTTATTAACCCTTGAAGTCGCGCTACCGTTGCAATGAAAGGGTTAAGTGCTCGTTTTGGTCTAGGTGTAAAAATAACGTTATACTCATCCGATCATCGTAGCCGGCTGGCTGTTACAGTGCTACCTCCAGCTTGTCTCCTCCTCTCCATCGATGGAATGTTTGTCGGCGTCCTCACGTTCAAGACACAATGGGGGGAATTTATCAAAGCAATTACAACAGTTTTAGCCTCTTAGATCATTTTTTTTATGTGCAAATCTGTCTTTTAACATGTGCCCCTGTTTTGACCAGAGCTTGCACTATTTTCCCAATTACGCCTGTTTTGCGAAAGTTCGCACCTGTTTACATCTGCACTTGTCCTGCGGCTGTCTGAAACTGGAGCATCACCTAACAAAACTATCGCTACTTAAGATGTCCCAATGACCACTTCTTTAAGAAGCGACAGTTAAAGCTTTTTACCTTGAGTTACGAGTTTCTTTCCTGGAGTCTATTTAATCTCAATTTTGAACAACATTACACTGGCATCATAAATCTGGCTCAAAGTGCATCAAATATATTCCGTGCAAGTTCAAACACTCGCAATCGCTATGATAAATTCCCCCTAATGTATTGGATATGACGACTCAAGAATCGTTAGACTGCTGGAACAGAGGGGGAGTGAGGCTGGAGCGACCAGTCTAACAGCCAGCCATCTCCAAGGATCAGGTGAGTATAACTTTTTTTTTGCACCTAGACCAAAATGAGCACTTAACCCTTGCAGTGTGGGGGCGTACCTCCACTTTAAGGGTTAATAAAAATGTTGAGTTCTTTAATTTCTTAATGATGATTATATCACTAGATACAAAATAAAAATAAAAAAGAGATGTGAATTTTAGAAGATAACTATAGCTGATAAGTGATTGGTTGCCATCACACATTTCCTATATCCAGTTTTTATATTGAAGTGTCTATGTAACTCTTGGTTACTGCATTTTGAAAGAAAAACAACATTTTCCCTGCCCTTTAATATAGTAAAATAGCTGGTGCCTTGTGTTCTGTAGCCCCCTTGATAAGCAACACCTAGACCCTTGTTACTACATATGCATGACTAACTTGTGGGTAGAATATCAGTACAATCAACAAGTCACTCTCAAAAAACTTTATTCCACAAGACAAAACTAGAGTACACACTGCAGTCCCCGTCTAAGCACCGTCCCTCTGACACTTTTCATACGAACCTAATCTTAGAGATAGGCGGACAGGGAAAGAGTTCCTTATATACAACAGTCAATCAGCTGATAACCGAAAAGCAGGGAAATCTTTTGGAAAATTAAGCTAGAAGCTTGCATACTCAAAGGGTTAAACTTTGAGTGGGATGTGACACATTATTATGAATAATTCGATCCTGTCTTCCCTGTTCTTAATTAGCAATTTGAGAGATTTTGGTATTTTTGTTTGGTATGGTATTGTTTTGTTTCCGCTATCCTATTTTTCTATCATTGTTCCTTTGCCTGATGGGTATTTTTTAATTTCATTTTTTCTAAATTTTTCAATTATTGTAGTAGGTTGTAAAATAACAAAACAAAAACGTTGGCTTTATGGGGAGGGAGGTGGGATAAGGGTTTCTTACCATTGATATAATACATGAGTATACAGCATTATCTTTAAGTGATTTAAATTGTACAGTATATGGTATTTGTATATTATTTATATTGGAAAAGGCGTATGTGTAGTATTTTATTCTGATATGTGTCTTTTAAGAGGTTTTGATTTTTCTGTTATTCTTTGATTGTTGTATATAAGGAACTCTTTCACTGCCCCCCATCTCTACAACTAAGCCTGTATGGGGCTTAATCAGAGCGGTGGTGTCTACGCGTGGACTGCAGCTTGCACCCTAGTTGGGTCTTGTGGAGCCAAGTTATTTGTAAGCAATGTGACACGCAGTGCTGCCTGTTGTTTGTATGGGTTGCATATGGATCAGAGGTGGGCTCTTTTAGCAGGCAAACTTCCTAAAAAGCTGGTTCTGGCTCTGCCCCCTCCCACTTCATGTGCTTTACTGATGGCCACCTCTGGCCGAACTAACTAGTGATAAGATATATAGGTGGGAAGAGGTTTATCCACAACACTTTGTTGGGATAGCAGAAGCAACGTGCCGTTGCAGTAACCAAGATGCCAGATATTTTTAGTAAGTGCCATTTTTGTGAAGCTTTTTCACCCCCAGGTTTAAAGCTTACCTTTAAATTAGGATCCTCTGCTCCCCTGCCCATTGTTTCCTAATGGCTATCATTGGTTGTCAGGGAAATAATATCTCTAGCCAATGTGAGCATTGTGTGCCTTCTGCTGCCAGTTATTAAGGCTGTGGGTTGGACAGGTACACAGATTTGATTTTAACAATAAAACCAACAATTTATATCTTCATAAGATTAGCATTACAGTACCAGATTTAATCTCAAGGTGAAATCACAGCTCTAAATCCCAGGAAAACAGTCAAAATATGAAGTCAGAGAAACTCCTCCAGGGAGGCATCAGAAGCCCTTGCCAAAGTTTTATTTTGGCAAGAAAATCCTTTTAACCAGTGCTTTTGTTGTTTCTCCCTAATTGCAATTTATACCGTATATATGAATATGAAGTAAAATATACACATACTTGAGCTTTTGCAAATGCCTTTTATTTGGTCAATGAAGCCCTTAATGCAGCATGGAAGGCCTGCTTTACTTTACTGCAGAATGTGTGGAAGTGAGAAGGGTTTGGGCACATATTTCTAGAAGATAGACCCAAGAGCGCAGTGGCTGCGTGCCAGAAGGACTCGATTTCTGAAGGTGGCCATTGTAAGCATAGACATTTTGGCTGAGTGAGAAGGTAGCATAATTCAGTTCCTTTCCACTCCACTCCCAATTTCTTTTTGAAGCACATGTGGAGAAAATATTTATTGGCTTATTTGTGGTTGGAATGTCAAAAATGTTCAATAACTGCCCTCACATGGCTTTAGTCCTTGGCCGCTAGCCCTGTGTCCTGAAGAAAAAAAAATGTTCCCTTTCAAAATTGTTTTTAGCGAATAAATTCTGTCTCAGCTGATTTCAGGCTGAGGCATTGCTTGCCAAGGACTAACCATTTTGTTGTCTAATTTATACCATGCAGCTTGGCAGCAAGCCCTGGCTTACCTCTGATCCAAATGTATTAATGATGTAACTGCTTGTTTCCATTCATGACCTGAAAAGGCTCTTTACCACACATGGGGTTTTACTTAATAGGCAGCACTCTCTTCCTAGGATAGCCGACTGCTAGCTGAATGTAAATCGCTGGCACAACAGCCCATCAAATGAATTGGCAGCAGATCATAACCTTGGCTCCGCGAGCTTGCCATCCAGATCACTTTTGAACAAAATGATTTAGTGCATGCCAGCACTGAGAGTTAGGTCATTCTTAAAAATGCACTGGAAAATTAGATTTTTCACTGGGTTCTGAGAAAGCACACTCTGCTGAGAGCCGTGGACACTGGAACTATTTATTGTATGAATAAGTGATTTGGGAACCTTTCTGCACTTATGTTTGTAAACACGTTTCTGTTTCAGTGCCTTTGCCGGAGAATATACGCACAATACAGCAGCAGGGACATACACTTGTGTAGTTTGCGGAGCTGTTCTTTTCAAGTGAGTAAATGTTAACAAGATAATATCATATGCCCTTTCAAATATACTGTGACTAAGCACCTACAACTGGGATTTACAGCACATAAAGCCTTTAGCTATTTTACTGGAATGACATACCATTTTATCGTTTACTGATTTGGAAGTTATTTATAAAAAGAAAAGCAACCAATCAGAACCCTGATTTATAGGAGTTCTGAAGTCCTAGCATATACTAACCTGTTATAACATCAGCATTGTAAAATTAATACTATTCATCCCCCACCCCCTTACCTGCTCTGCCAGGACGCTGCTCGAATCAAGAGTCTGGTAAGAGATTTTGGGCTCTGATATTAATTTATTTTTTGGGGGGGGGGATTGTGCTGTCTTTCTTTTTTTGATGTTCACATTTAACAACATATCAGTTCATTCCGAATTACAAAATTAATTCTCAAAATTCGGATACGTTCCAAATCGTTATTTTCCCATTCGGATGTATCCGAATGTCTGAATTTGGACAAATGCACCAGTCAAGAAACTATACAAAGTGTGAAGGAATGAGTATAATCACACTAGTCAGCAATAAGCACCTGTTACTTGCATTGTACTATATATATGAATATATTAAGGATGTCCTAATACTAATATCAGCATTGGGGCCGATACAGGGCATTTTTACGAGTACTTGTACTCAGATACTGAAGGCTGATACCGGCCAATTAAATTTGTAAAGAGGTTTGGCTGCCTGAGTTCCTACGCTTGCTGTGAACCTCAGGCAGCTGTCTTTGATAGTGCCTGTCCGGCCCCACATCTCCTCCTTTCCACACCACCCGGAGAGCCCAGCACCCACCCGCAGAACCTGGCACCCACCCACACCTCTCGGAGAGCACGGCACTCACATGCAGCCCTGGTAAGATCTGCACGCAGCCCTAGTGAGACCCAAATGCAGCCCCATTGAGACTCAAACGCAGCCATGGTGAGATCTGCATGCAGCCCTGCTGAGACCTGCACGAAGCCCTGATGAGACGCAAAGGCAGCCCTAGTGAGACCCATACGCGGCCCTGTGGGATCCATACGCAGCCCTGGTGGGATCCATACACAGTCCTGGTGAGGCCTGCACACAGCCCTGGTGAGATCGCAACGCAGCCCAGGTGAGACCTGCATGCAGTCCTGGTGAGACCCAAATGCAGCCCTGGTGAGACCCAAATGCAGCCCTGGTGAGACCAATCAATGATTATACAGCAACAGAGAATGGCAACCGGTTATAGAGGACTGCAAATCTCAGCAAACCATAATTGCTGGTTGCCATTCTCCATTGCTGAATAATCATGGATTGAGTTACAGTTCTTCATAATTATAATAAAACCTCCCTAAAATCATTAGTCTGTATTGTTTAAGAAAAATATCACGTCCATTTAAGAAAAGTATCGGTAATTAGTATCGGCAAGTACCTGATGGAAAGCACTTGGTCTTGGAAAAATGGTATCAGGACATCCCTGCTTTTTTTTAAATTATTTAGGTGGGCAAATTAGCCTTTTATAGTTTTAGCTAGCTGACCATATTAACGCAGCTAAATTCAGTCAGGGCATCTATGCACTATGAATAGTTTAAACTGGTTTGGCTTTAAATGGATCACTTTATAATGTATTGTAAATGGTCTCAATGATAGCTGAAAATCAAATTACATGTATCATGGGTGAAGGTAAGTTCAGGACAACCATATGTACACAACTGTATGGTATACAACAGGCTTGATCACAAAAAAGATCTTAGGTTATGCACTTTCGTCGAGATCTATCTTACTAACCACAAAGGCAAACTGTCCTATGCAACATTATAGTTTCTTATTTCACCTTTTTATTACCTGTAGCCAACTAAAACGCTGGGAAGCCTTTGTGGAAGATTGTAGTGCTAAAACTGATGAAAAATAAATTCCCTGTAAATACAGGATATCTGGTTTGTGTTTTGTATACTCTGTAAATGGCATTCTACATTAATGCAGAGACGCATTGATCAGCTGGAAACTGAATTGTGGAATGTACAGAAAGACCCATCTGAAGAATTAATGTTATTGAATAATGCATAGACATTAGTGTTAGTGTTGAAAATTATCTACACATTTATGTACAGCCCATAAAAGACCAGTTAAATGTGTATAGCCACCCCATTCCACCCCATTAAGGTTATATGGATATTTCTGATGCCCAGTTGTGAAATGTGTTTTCTACCAGTGATTTTGATGGCTTTGTCCTATTGACAGCCTATGTAGGGTAGCAGGAAAATGTATGTGTCCACTATGCCCCATTAAAATGGGGATAACAGTTAAAAGAAACACCAGTAAAGCTGCATTAGATAGGACACTCTAGATGGCTGCAGTTCAGCTATTAGCTCTATGTAATGCACATTAAGGAAGAACCTCTATATTAAAAATGACGACAAAGGCACCTTTAGAAATATTTAGAAATGGCAATTTACAAACAGGTACTTGTAGGCTTTTTATTCTTTGCATACCTTATTTCTCGTTGCGGAAAATGTGACAGTGCACATCATCTGAGGGGGAAAAAATGTCTTTCCTCTGAGATCTTGCTAGATTTTCCCGTTTACAGATGAGATTTCCCAAGAAGGCACTGATGATGTGTACTTCCCAGGATGCATCTGTGATGTAAGGGCTACATAACCAGTGCCTCACTTAACCAGGAAGTGGAAAACAGTAATTGTAAGTAAAAGCAAAAAATGTTTGTTTAACTAATTAATGTTAGATGCAGAGCTGCAGGCTGATGTGATTTTTAGTGAAAGGGGGTAAAGGTCCACATAAGAAAAATAAAAATCTCTTTTTGCAGGACTGTTCCTTTTCAGTACAGATGTTTCTTTTTTTCTGTTATGGTTTCCAAATATTAATATTAAATCCATATTAAAACTGCACCCTAAAAGCACTGTTTATTGCAGATTATGATGTGTACAGGTATAATTACCTCTGCTACTGTACATTTAATAGCACATGGCTGTTGCCAAACCTGGCATTTCTGATAAGTGTTAATGGTTTACAAGCACCCTAATGAAGATCTTCCGTAATGCTAATAATATTTGAGTGATTGGGAATCAGTGAAGATCCTCTATGAATTAAAAGCCAAATATTCATAACTACAAATGAGCAAACTGATATACTATATATACACATGCCCACACTACATAGAATCACATAATAAAATAATTTTGGCAGCCTGGGTTTGAATCACAGGCTGTTTATGATACCCATGGTAAAGCTTGAAAATTGTACATAGCAATATTGCACAAATTCTCTGCATAGTATGGAAGCAATTTTAATAGGCAGCAATTTAAGAGGCAGAGACCAGTCAGATTTAATTGGAGTGTATTACTGGACCCTAAGTAGTCTGCAATCATATAGTTTAGGCACAGCCTGTGACTGCTGCCAGCAGCTGGGCTTGTATGCTGTGGTTGGAGATAGGATTTAAAAGCATTGCTGAGGCAGCCACTGCCACTCCTCCTTTCAGTGATCTGAGGATTGGTAGCACGTTTGGCATGAGAGGGGATTCTGCCATTATCTAGAAATGTGGCCAAGAGGTTCTTCTGCAGCGTCTCTTCTAAATGGTAAATTTTTTTCATTCGCAGATACAGAACCTGCGGGCGAAGGGTGTGGTGCTTTGGTGCACTTAGAATGGTGTGCTGGGTCTATTCACTGTAAACACAGAGGATTGTATACAATAATATATAGCCTACCATCCTGTAATTCACTATTATGTAGCACAATGCACACGGGGTTGGGGAGGGCTAGTTGGTGAGGCGGTAGCCCACCACACTGCAATTCATTATAGTATATAGTGCAAAACAGCACTGTGCACTGTGTTTGCAGTATATCTCCCTGTCAGCTCTCCCTAAATTCATCAAGTCTCCAACACACAGACAGGGAACCCTGGCTTCTATAGGGAGGCAGCTGGAAACATAAGAAAGCTTCATTTATTGGTCCTTCTAAGCCACCTGACCACAGTTCAGAGGCCAGGAGGTGTGTTATTGGTAGTTGGTTTGTTTCTGCAAACATCAACATTAGCTTGCCATTTTCCTGAACTGCAGTTTACTTCGAACTCAAGCTCATCCCTACTTGGCAAAGGTGGATCACAAACTGCAGGGTTCTTCACATATTGATACATTAGTGACATATTTAGGGCATCCTAATTTGCCTAAAGAGTATCCAGTTACCGCTTTTCTTTTCTATCTGCAACAAGATATGAATAGATGTGCACACAATGGTGAATACATATATGCCTATTCAGTTGTGTTGTGTGTTATTTTTATGTTGGTGTTTTGTTGGAAAAGAGACCACAAAGTTATGACTGCTTAAAGCATCAGAGTGTACGTAATATGGAAATTGTGACTATGTAACTATGGTATTTTACAACATTTTGAATTACATCCATTAATGATTATACAAACATCTGTGCTAACAGATATTTTCTTCTTGTTCCAGGTCTGAAAAAAAATTTGACTCCAATTCTGGTGAGTTTGTAAGCGAACGTTAAAAGGGAATCCACCAAATGCCATGCAATGATTACTATGAATTGAGTTTGGTGTAAAAATCTCATGTCCAATCTGCCAGTCTACCAGTTTAAACATTGAGGCTGTGTATTTAAAAGTGAACCTGTGTCCAGGCTATGGACATTCCAGTATTAACATATTGTCAACAAGCAGGAACAAGACCTTGCTGACTTCTGTAGCTACAGTCACCGTGAAGCAGTTCACCCTTAAAATTAACAGCAGAAGCAACTTTTTTGCTCAGGCAGATCAGCTCCCTCTACTTTGCCTCCCAGCCTTCTAATATCTAATGTAAACAGAGCAGGTGCTACTGGAAGGGGTAGCAGGTTAAGGTTTATTCTTCTACAGTGCCTGCAGCTACAGAGGTCAGTGATGCTTTATTTACAACTTATTTACTGTTTGCTAAAAAATAAGTAACTAATTGAATGTCCATAGCCTGGTCATAGGCTCATTTTTAAGATTCTGTCTACATGTGCTTCCATCTTTCTGGATATTGAAGATGTCTAGGTCTCCAGTACCTAAACCTTGTACACACAGACATCAGAGGTCACTTAATGAGTATTCTTTACACATGCAGAGTGCCCTCTGACAGGATATTTTGAGCTTAAGGAAGATTATTATTTTTGCTTCACATGGCAACTTTAAAACCATGACTGATTAATTCTTTCGACTTGACAGTTGGCAGTTGAAACTCACATGACATAGATAGAGTGATTGAGATTTTCAGAACAAATTTACATCACCCAATTTCCATTTAACCCTTTCCTGGCATGAGCAATACACTGATCATGTAAAGGGCTGCATTTCAAAATGTGTGATATCTAAATGTATACTATTGGTTTCCTGTGTAATCAGCTATGTAGGTCATATAGCATCTGTTCTCTACATATATTTGATATAAAAAATGTATATAATTTTAAAAAAAAACTGTTTCACCCTCCAAAATGTTTGTAAAGTGATATTTTAAATGCATAGTTCAGCTTTTGTAAAATAAATAAATAAATACATACATACACCTTATTAAAAGAAAAAATGTGGATTCATTATTTTCCTGCATATGAGTGTGCAATGCATTGCAACAGCGATCAGTGGATCACAGGTCCTATGCTCTGGCTCCTGCAGACTCTTCCTCCCAGTCCGTGTCTGTACCTAGGTACGGACATGGGCTGGGAGGAAGACCATGTGACCATGTTACACCTATATACAGGGAAACATGATCCAAAAAAACGTATCCTTTAAGTAAACCATGCTCTCCGCTGTACTTTACAGTAACATAAGAACGGTGGCAGTACTTTTCAGAGAATGCAGTTCTATATACTTGATGATTCTGGTAATCTTATGCTTGCTTTTTGGGCTAAACTGGTCATGGCTAAGCACAGCCACTTCCATTCTATCAGCTTACAGAGAAAGTACAGCAGCTGCAAGCCTAATATCCATCTTCAGCTTGATGATTTTGATTAATTTTATTAACTTAACTAAAAAATGGTTTCATGAGTTTTAAATACACAAGTTAAAGTGTGTTTCTGTTATATTTGCTATATAGATTCTCATTAAGAAACACACCCCAAATCACTCCGGTTCTTTTTTAGGTACCAAATTCTGCATTACAGTTTTCAAACCTATGCATTGGAATAATGGTGCCCTAAACTATTTGCGATTTTGCAGGAAAATGTTTGCCTTTCCTCAAGAGCCAATAAAAAGTCTTGCCTTATAGAGCTTCAGGAAGGAACAAATTGTATCAATTGTTCACATAATAATTTCCCATTACCATTTGTGTAAGTAGACCTGGCAACTGGCCTTTCAAGTAATGGGAGTAATTGGGTGTAATCAGGGAGGTTTAAAGATGAACTCCAAGCAAACAGATAAATACACAGATAAAATACATACTGTACACAGTATATTAGAGCTGTTTTACCTTCCAAGGTATTTGTATTTCTATCCGTTCATTCTTGAGATTAACACAGCTCTGTCTGACTACACAGCCAGCCTGGAGAACTTACTTTTCTTTGCTGTGGTTAAAGAGGACATTGCAGTCCACAGCAACTAAGGGCTATATAGTCCTCTCCATTCCTAAATCACTATTACTATTCCTACAAATATTTCCTTCTTACATACCTTGGGCCCCAGTTTCTAGACGTTTCGCTAGGCATGGGTGACATCACTGGGAAAGCTGAGGACATCCAACAAGTGGTGTCCGTCACATATTACCCATCACTTCTATTTTCTAACGGCTTTACTTGCATAGATAAAAGCCAGTCAGTGAATAGACCATTGCATGTTAGCAAACATATTTAAATAATATTCCCTCTGCTAAAATGTGCACTCATGTGCACACAACACATTTATTAAATGGCAAAATAACTAGACCTTGTTGACCTGGCTAAATGAAAAGGCTTGTTATTATTCAGTTAACAAGAGATGGGACATCTTAGTGGTTATAGGTATAGTTCATGATTAACCTGTCATTGTTCAGTTTTTGCGACTGAGGCACATTTGTGCCATTCACATAGTCTCTTTATGACTAGGCCATGCAGAGTAAAGTATCAGGTTGGTGTTCTTCTTCCCCTTCCACCCCCATAACAAGTTCACCTTTTCTTCACTCCGCAAAAACTCTGTTCAGCCACTGAGAACAAAGAAAATACATGGTACTTCCAAATATGCAGGAACATGTGACTCACTCTCCATCCTCTTATGGAACAGTGCTTGTACTAGGTGATTGGCCCAGCACTGTTACAAAGGAGCAAGGAGAGAGTCCTCAGACCTCTGCAAGCTACAACTAAAGAGACATTTGTTTCTCCACTCCTGGAAGCTAAACGGAGAAGTGGGACGATATAGGAAAGGTGAATATGTGTTGCTTGGAAGGGTGGTATTATGGAGTATATAAAGCCAAAACATTCCCTTTTTTTTAGTTATGGAATAGAACTCCTGTTGGGTTTTTACTACTGTCTGTGCCCCCCTTAGGGAGATTCACCCTTTCCACTTGTTCTGATGGTCATTGTCACCGGGACTCCAAAATGTATAGTTGTCACCAAAATACTGCAGCAATAGAAGGGAAATCTTCCAATGGGAACACTCTCAAGGGATTTTCCCGCACTTTGTCAAGATTTCTTCTCTTTTCCTCTTGTGTCTACATGACAGGAAAGTAAGGGAAGTCTCTCCAATGTGACGCAGATGTCAAAAAAACTCAAAAAACATGACAGTGGTTTTAACCATTTCCCATTCTTTATTCATTGAGAAACAGCATGGATAGAGCACAGGTTTGCTTTAAAGGTTACCATAGTTAACACTTTCATGTCGTAATCTAATCACCAAATCTTATCTTTTTACAAAATACAAATATTAGGTCCATTCACTATTTTAGTTCTGGTGTTACTAACGTTTCAAAGAATTTGCTGCAATGATGTTCTATATTCGCAGCTAAGCATTTTCTTGTCATGGAAAACCTGAATTCTTAACCCAGATCAGACAGCCATGTGCAATACACATGTGTATCTGTCATATATAGGTTTTATAGGACTGCCTCTTATTCGATGCCAATATCTTGAGGCCTGTTTTGTTACGAGTAGAATGGCATATTGCAGAATCTCAGTTTACATGTTGGGTTCTATAACCACTTTATACATTTTTTGTGTTTATATTACATAATCTTTTCACATAAAGCAGTTGTACAAAAATGTCCAAGAGAGTGAAGCGGCGAGAACTAAAGTGTAAACCCCTATCAATGGACTTCTCTTATTTGCTCCCTTTTGCTTTGTTCAATAAGCCATTGAAAACATTTGTTATATCTGGTTAATAAGTGCAAAAATATACCTGTTTATCCTGCCAGAAATCCATTGAGCTCCTAAATTCCTGAGCTGTCTGCCTTTACTGGCTGTTGTCATTGTTCCAAGCTATCTCTGTGGGCTACAGCTCCCCCTCCCTAAGTTATGGAGCAAATGGGGAAAGAAGTGTTCTGTAGTCTTGTCCTGGGTTGGCAATGCTGCTCCTGCATGCTATATATGCAGTACATTGATTGTTGTTAACCTAGGCCAGGAAGTGTGTTATTCACAGGGACTACCAGGTGAAAATAAAGGAAAGAAGTCTGGAAAAAATGAAACTTAGGCAGGTACCACATTTTAAGATTAGTACGCTGCAATAATTACAGTTTTGTTTTTGGGTTTGTTCTTTAAAGACACAAACAGTCAATCATTGCTTACACTAAATGCCGAAATTGAAATACAAAATATGAAAATTTGTATGTATTGAAAATACCGTGTAGTATTAAAACCCAACTCCAGCCAACTCTAAGGGATAAAACCCTTTTTCTCTATCCTCACCTACTGTCTGAACAGGAAGTGATGGGAAATCTGCCCAGTGGGGGTGCAACAAAACATGTTTTTTTTTAAACTGAACGCTGGGCAAAGAAATGTTCATTTAAATATATTCCACGAAAGCCACAAAGGATATAAATCCGGTTTGTGTGCTCCAAATACCTTTCAAATACAGTTATTATCTTGTAAATGTAGTGGTGACATCAAGTCTGTGCAGAGAGCAGATCTGTGGGAAGGACCCAACAAGTTCATTGACCACAGGCTGCCTTCAGAATACTACAGGAGGGGGTGGATACAAGACCAATCCTCTGTGCAGAAGGAGAGAGAGCAGCAGTGACTGGTCTTTATTACAGTAAGCTCCTGCACAAAGGCAAAGTTTCACAATGGATTAATGCACAGGAATACATAGGAATCCTAAAAATAGGGATGCACTGATACCGGCTTTTCGGTATCGAGTACAGTACCAATATTTTTTCCCGGTACTCGCTGATCCCGAATACCAATACTGGAAGTTCCATTAAGGAAGCCAGGAGGCGTGTAATGACTTACTACCTGGCTTCTAGCCAATCAGGAAGCTGGAGGTCCGGTAATTACTCGCAGCCTGGCTTCCTGATTGGCCAGCTTCCCAACCAATCAGGAAGCAGGCATGAAGCA